TAGGTCCTTTTTTTGCCTGAATGTTGGCATGGAAATATGATGGTAAATAGAGGATGTTTGTGAACCATCATGCTTCTGCTTTACTGCAATATCATAAACTCCTGATGTTAATAGCGCGTACAATTGAATTTAATCATGTGAATGTATCAATTTACTACTTTTATTTTTTTCTTTTTCATATTGGCTTTAGTGTGTCTTGGATGCCCTTCTAAAGTCCAACTTTCAAGGGTACTGTTGTAGGATATAGAGAAAAGTTGATTGTTTGAAATACCAGGGTATCCAGCTATAATTGTTTAAAGTGCTATAATTTTTATGTTGCGGACATTGAAGAATGTCATTTCAGAAGGATTAATGACACATAAGGAAGATTATCTCTGTCATTCCATCCATATATCTTTTGGCCATTCTTTAATTGATAAAGCAACTCTTTTGTTATGTTTTTCTTGGCTTCAAAATGCATAAGGCTGGTAGATGTTTAGATAAGGTTCTTCTTTATTTTGAAGTTAGTTAATCAAGTAGTAATATCTGTATTGCCAATGACAGGAGAAATGCAGGTTGCAATTCAATCATTCCGATTACATGGAAATCTTCTTAAAAATACTATTCTTCAACACATGCGTGTCATGAAGCCAGTCATGCTACCTACTGTGTTTTCACGATTCAAGTCAGTCTCTTCACCTCGACTGGAAGAGCATGGATTTGAGAGCACCACTATCCTAGATATTCTGAAAGCTAAAGGCAAGAGTGCTGATGGTTCCTGGCTGTGGTGTACAACTAATGACACTGTTTATGATGCTGTGAAATCGGTATGCTGCTTTTTGCATTAATACTCGTTTATTGATTTCCTATAGGAATATCAAATGAAATGTGAGGTATATATAGTATAACCAAGCATATGCATATATACTGTGTGAACCAACTACTTGTTTTGGACAGTCGTATATGAACTGATGGCTCAATATTCTACCTCTTTTAGATGACACAACACAATGTTGGAGCTTTGGTTGTGGTGAAACCCGGAGAAGAGAAGGCACTTGCAGGGATTGTAACTGAGAGAGGTAGTCACTTGCCATCACACTGTTTCTTGGTGGTAAATCGGTACTTGCACTAAAACATTTGCTCACACATACATATGCACATGGAAACTAATATGCATTTGTTTGCATGCACAAATCTGCACATTCATGTACATACCTGTGTTCAAATGCAAACATGAGATCTAATGTGATCATGTACTGCATGTTGCATTTGGATGGTGCAAATGAAATTAGAATCTTTAAAGGAATTTCATGCATTAGAAGGAGACCAAGACAAATGAAGGTCTCTACATTCAACTAAATATAAAATTGGAAGTTCCTGTTTCATTGATCTTGCAAGATATGGCTTCTGACAGTTACAATGTTATTAACTAATATGCTAGCACAAAATGGCATATCAGTAAGTAATTTTTTGTTCTTTCTACTTCAAGAGCAAGGATAGCTTAATAGTTTTTACTGGCAGTTTATGGTTATCCTGTCTATAGTAATACTTCTATCATCAATCACCTGAATTTAGATATTAATTTTGAAAGTTCACCAAGTTCAAAGATTGTCATTATTAAGATAGTCACTTTATTTTCATAATTTCCATGTTTGCCTTTTAACATTTTATTTCCATATGTGAGTTGGTAAGATGATACCTTTTAATGATCCACTTGCAATCCGAACAACTCCATAGTCCATACTATTCTGTATCTAGGCAGCTGATCCTCTGACTATGTCACTATTGTACTTTGCTTTCAAAGAAGAGTTCGTTAAGCTGCAACTACTTGCGGTGTTCATGAGAACCACTTGAGAACAAAGAATGCAGTTTAGGAATTTAATAAGCCATTCTTTAAAAATATCTAGCTAATTTTCAACTTTAGGATATTTTATGGAAAATGGCTGCTTCAAAATCACAGCAATTAGTATAACTTATAAACCAAGTACTAAGACAAATGGTGAATTATTATTCAAGCATGTGCTTTAGAGTATAGAGAATTGAGCTAAGCAACTTTCAATTTCACACATAAATAGTTGATCTGAAAAAATAACTGTTTTTCTTGTTCAAAATCTTTACAGAAATACAAGAACAATGTTGATAGTGATTGTTTTCTTTTGCCTGTAGTTGGAGCAACTTACCTGTACGTATAACAACTTTTTTCATCTTCAGATTATCTCCGAAAAATTATTGTGCAGGGAAGATCTTCCAAATCAACTAAAGTTGGTGACATTATGACTGATGAGGTAATCTGGAGCAGTTTCTATTGCAATATGCAGATTGGTTTATGTAGATTGTGCATTTTCATTGTCCTGGTTTTTGGAATTATGCATTATTGATCTGTATAATTCATAAGGAACATTTTTTTTACATTAAAATAGAAGTAAGTTGCATGAATGCTGCTCTCCTTAAATCAAGAAACTGTAAAACTTCAGGTGATAAGTATTCATTTCATTTGTATTAACATTTTGGTCAGTGCACTCGTTTATACCACAGGTTCACGGCTTTAACTGACACATAGATCAGGCAATTCCATTCTGGTCAATCTGGAACCTAGCTTATTGTTCGGATAGCTTACCACATCAGGCTTATGGCTATCAACTGATCAATACCAAGTTGTATTCGGACAATAAGTCTAACATCTGGCATCAGCACCCATCATTCTTGTTGTTGTTGCTTCTCCTTGTCACATCACCACCCAATGCTGCCTCTCCTCCTCTGCTACATATCTGTGTTACTTTGTACTCGCTATCTCCTCTTCCTCTTCTTCTCTCTCTCCCTCTATTCTAATAGTGGTCTATATTGATTTTACCGTACCATATTGATACTCGGTTCATTGTATGATACCAGTACTGTACGAATCCTGTCGTTCAATGGTGATATGTACTAAGATTTTTTCCTTCATTTGCATTACATTTTCTGCCTTATGACAAAGTATTTTTGGTTTCTTATGACCAGAATAAATTGATCACTGTGACACCAGATACCAAGGTTCTGCGGGCCATGCAGCTTATGACAGGTTTGTTCTGTAAGTACAATTAGTTGCTTGTGTGGCTAGATTGACTGATAACATTGTTGTTATGACTTTTTCTATCTGTAGACAACCGCATTAGGCATATCCCTGTGGTTGATGACAAAGGTATGATTGGCATGGTCTCCATTGGTGATGTTGTTCGAGCAGTGGTGAATGAGCATCGGGAGGAGCTGGACCGCCTTAATGCATATATACAAGGGGGTTACTAGCAAAGTAGATCTAGAGTCTAATAATGTTCAATGATGATGACGAAAAAAACTAAAGTTTGCTTTTAGCAGATAGTGTGCTTTTTGTTAAGCATGTGTGCTTAGGTCATGCTTCTCTTGTCCTATGTTGGCTAATAAGTGAGTTTCTCAGTAGGCTCATTGGTGAATGAGCATCACGTGGAGCTGAACTGCCTTAATGCATGTATGTATACAAGGGGGTCACTGGAAAAGTAGTTCTAGCAGAGTCTAATAATGCTAGATAAAGATGGCAAAAAACCGAAAGTTTGCTTTGATCTGACCATGTGCTACTCATCAAACTTGCATGCTTATGTCATGCTTTTCTTGTTCTATGTTGGCTAATCAGTGGGTTTATGCAAGCTCATCAGACTTTTTTTTGTGTTCATCAGAGTTATTATTGTGGCTGGTTGTGGCTCTTTGTGTGGTTAATTATCGTGAACTATTCAGGCTTTTCCAGTGTTGATTACCAACAAAAAGTAATGTTTTCAATGTAAATATTCTTGGGAATGTTTTGTATTGTCGAATCTAGGTGTTCGAGTTTGTGAATATCTGGTCGAGATTCTAATGGTTTAAAATAACCTGCATTTTAGGTCTTTGTTTATTTGTGATTCATTGTAATAATTCGCCTGTGCAGATTTATTTATTAGTCATTATTGTTGTGCAACTCAGCGTTTTTCTTTTGGGTATATACTGATGGGATTTTTTTTATTCATCTCCAAAGATTTATTAGTATCTGCATCATACACCTTCTTCTTATAAGGATGTCAAGCCAAATGTGTGCATGCTTAATCCGAACTGTCTTCCATGTGACATCAGAGATCCACCTCGTAAGAGATTAGAGTATGATTAATCGGGCATTTTATTATGGCATGTTTAGAATCTCAGATGATAACCGATTGACTTCTTTTTGTATTGATGATGTCTGTTTAACAATATTTTCAAAGCCGTAAGATTAAATTGTTTGGATTATGATGGAAATGAGAGCTTACAACGCAAGTTAGTCTCAGTGGAATTCAAAGGCAGGTCATGTTGGGCCCGTCGAAGGATGGCACTGCTCGTCGTTGGGAATATATCAGATGGTGATTGTAGTTTCTTCTGGAGTAGGTTGTGAGGCCTGGTTGGACGCTTTGGAAAGCCCTCCTAAGACCGATGCGAAGCTGTCGGATTCAGTTCGTTCATATAAATATAGGATAATAGAGCCAACACGGTCCCTTTTTTGTAAGCACGCTCTTGGAATACTTGAGGTAAATGATGTGGAGGTAAGCTACGAGCCAAGCACTCTAAATTCACAAACCTACGAGCCAACACGGTCTCTAAGAATGTATCCTCCGCCGATCGTAAGAGTTAGATTGTGTTGGAGTTGAATATTAAGGCGAGAAAAAAGAAAAAACTATTTTATTATGCCAGGAGTCCTCTTTCCTAGTATTTAAAGAGCAACGAGTGAATCGTTAGGTTTTTTTTTAGTTCTGACCAAGTCGCACCCACAGTGACATCTATGGTCAGCCATACATCGACGTATGGTTCGGAGATAAACCAGGAGAACGGATCCTTCTTCCCTCCTCCTCCTCTCTCCTGCACGTACATTTGGCCACATCCATCTCCGCACACCTATCCAAGCTCCTCCTATATAAACACTTGCAAATCTATCTCCAACCTCCGCCTCCCTCTTCTCTGCCACTGCTCTTTGGCTCTCCTCAGTTTCCAAACCCTCCAAGAGAGCCACCATGGGTCGACAGCACCAAACCGCCTCTCTCTCACTCATCCTGCCTGCCGCCCTGCTCCTCCTCCTCGGGGCCACCATAACAGAAGCTCGCGTCCTCCGCCGCGTCAATGACCGCTCCCTCTTCGACGCCACCTCCGAATGCAAAAAAGCATCGTACCCCGATCTCTGCAATTCCCTTGCTCCCTCAGCGTCGGTCGGGTCCCTGACCGCCGCATCCATCGACGTGGCCACGTCCAAAGCCAAGGAGGCAGCAGCCATTTCCGCCAAGCTTATGAAAGCCCCTGGCACCGAGAAGCTGATGAAGTCCACCCTGTGTGTTTGCCGTGATGCCTTCAGCTCCGTAGCTGACAGTCTCCAGTTGTCAGCCAAGAACCTCAAGGATGCAGCGCACACTGACCTCATGGTGAACCTCTCCGCCGCGATGAGCCTCAAGGCCAACTGCGCTGATGCGTTCCAGGATTGGCCGGGTTTGGTGTCACCTGTTGCCGATATCAACGACCACCTTTCGAAACTGGTTAGCAATAGCCTGGACCTGGCTTCTACTTTGAAGAACTGAGGAGAGACATCCACGTAAAGAGCAACTGGCGAGATAATATATTGACCATAGAAGTGAAGGTGGAGGATGTTTTTATTTGGATTAAATGATTTAAAATGATCTGTGAAGCTGTGAGGTTTAAGATTCATGTCTCGGTTATAGACCACCTTCTCCTCGTCTTTTTATTCATTTGGTTTGCTTACTGCTACTCCACGTTCGCATGCACTGCATGCATGTCTTCCACGAAATGACTATAAGTTTTGGCTTTTTCGAATATCCTACGGTAGCCCTGGGCGGCAAGCGGAGCATCGACTCGATCCTTGCCGTCCGAAACACGAAACCCAGTCCGCTTGGCCAATTAATTACGTCCTTGCCTGACTCCCGCTCACAATCGCATCCACCTTCGTTTTTATTTTTCTCTCCGTCTCTTCCTTTCCTGTACCACATTCCTTCCTTCGATCCCCCCATCGCCAAATCGAAACCCGGAAAAGAACAGTACAGCTGGTGGAGCGCAGAAAGGAAAAGCTAAAGACACTATTCTGCCACAAAAAAAACCCTTAAAGATTTGCTTGGGACGAGAAGAAGAGAAGCGAGGAAGGAAAAGAAGGGAGGCAGGGCTTGATGGCGAGCGGCAGCAACCACGGAGGAGGGGAGGGCGCCGGTGGGCTGAAGCTCCGGAAAGCACCCTCTAGGAAGATGACGCGGATGCCGACGATGCTGGACGTGCAGCAGGAGGAGGATGCGCCTGCCCCGCCCGACTGCGAGCTCGTCCCCTCCTCCGTCAAATCCATCGTACCCATCCTCGGCGTCGCCTACGAGTTCGAGAGACTCAGTCGCCTATCTATAAGACCTAACCCTAGGCCACCGACCCATACAACAATATCTAATATAATTTAAAATATTATATTTTATATAAATTATAATATTTTATTATAATTCATACCTTATAAATATATCTTTAGTTACCAATCAGATAAAATTTAGAAATATGAGTTACAAAGAATATTCACCTAATTTCTTATTTAACTTATATTAAAATATTTAAATAATAATAATAATTAAATATTAATCAGAAAAACACATGAAAACTATAATAATGAAAAAAAACAAAAATTATGTTTTTATGTGAAAAATAAATATCATTTTATAATTTTAAACATATGCATGTGAATAATCAAACAAATATTCAAGAATAATAATTATTTTTTTATTTATCACATATAAAATTTTATCGATGTCATATAAGAAAACTATCAAAGAAAATCATGATTTATCTATATTTTAAAATTTCGTATCGAACTCTTATATTAATCAACCATATTTAATTGACTAGACCCAAAATTAAGTTACCCAAATTAGGCTCATAGATTTGAGTTGAACATTTACCCAGTTAGGCTCATTAAGATTAATGTTGATTAAAATCAAATTTTGACTTTTTGTGGAAATCGATCAAAACTTAATTGATCAAACCTAAATATAGTCAAGTAGTCAAAATACAATAATGATAAAGTCCGATCAAAATATTTGATTAAAATAAATCAAATTAATCAATTTTATCATTGAAGACAAGTTAGAAAATTTTAATTTTTCAAGGGTAAAAATATAATTTTGTTATGATATGTAAAAATATATCTAATTTGTGAAGATCAAAATTGTCAAAAGGACACAAGCTAATTTTTTTTCTAATTATGTAGGGTAAAAATATTCTTTTATTAAAAAAACACCCCTAATTCTACTCCCTTCGCACAATCACTGTCATGAGTGATCATCGCTTGTGGGTCGTCACCCCGCCTCAAACAATTGTTACCACGCATGTGCGACTCAAGGTGACCCCCATAGTCGTCGCAACGTGATTGTGTACACACACATTGCCCGATGACGTCATTGGTCTTTGGCTTTTAGTGACACCGAGTGTGGCAACATATGTTGTCACATCAACATTGCTACAACTACTACAAGTAGTGACGATGCTGCTACAGTTGCCTCAAGCAACAACAATCGTTGTAGCCACATAGGCAATGGCATTACTGTAGTTATTACACGCAGCGACGTTACTATAGCCACCGTATGTAGTGACAATAGCCAAAGCCATCGCAAGCAGTAGTGTTGCATAGCCACCGTAGCCATAAGACAAATTGCATCTGCCATAAGGTTGTCGTAATCTACAAAGCTTTCGCTGCATATGCAATTGTTGCCCATGATTGGGCTGGCGACCATCGAAGACCATCACCCTTAATAATACTATTGCTAATAGTAAATTATCGACAATAGTCCATCGATCAAACACAAAGAATCTTATATCACCCACAGACGATATGTTAAACTAAATATAAAAGTAGATTAGTAATACACATGAATCGTTTAAGCATTGCAAATCAAAATCGAACAACATAGTGAAATGTGCTAACAAATATATCTAAAGTATTTGATTTCATAAATTTGGTTTTGATACCAATTATAAACATAAAAAACTAATTTTATGTTATTGTTATGCAAAAAACTATAATATAAAAAAATAAAATCAAATAATAATAGATCAAATTTATGAAGCGTACCTTTAGATATCATTCAAAAAAATTTTATGTGATATGCAGGTGCACCATTGTCGAATTCAAAAGTTACAACGATGCCAGTATGCAAGGAGAACTAAACTCATATTTTCATCTTTTCTTATCCTTCACATGACTGTTATAAGCGATTGATTAAGAATAAAAGGAAGATGAGAAAAGATATGTAATATCTCATTAACTAGTTCACGTGATTAATGTGATATGAGAAAATGTATGTAATCTCCCAATAATATCATATATCTCCATCTTTATTTATTTATTTACATATCATGTATTTAATTATCTGTGAATTCACGTCGAGTCTTTAAAAGATCATGTCATTTTATAGACGAGAGAAAATAGTCTAATATAAATAATTAAGGAAGTTTCATATCAAAATATATTATAAAGAATTATACTATAATTAATTTTTTTTATTAATTAATAATCATGATCAAAATAAATCATATTTATAATATATTTTATCTAATTAGATAAATCGTGTAATCTAACCCATTCTCTTTATCACGTCACGGCCTACCGCTGCCTTTCCTCCGATACATTCCTGCGTTATTTTGTACTCACTATCTCCAGCTAGTCTCTCTCTCTCTCCCTCCGTTCTAATAATGGTCTGTATCGATTTTACTGTACCATATCGATACTTGCTTCATCATATGATACCAGTACAGTACCAAACCTGTCGTTCAATGGTGACATGGACTAAGATTTTATCCTTCATTTGCATTCTGCCTTATGACAAAGTATCGTTGGTTTCTTATGACCAGAATAAATTGATCACTGTGACACCAGATACCAAGGTTCTGCGGGCCATGCAGCTTATGACAGGTTTGTTCTGTAAGTACAATTAGTTGCTCGCGTAGATAGATTGACTGATAACACTGTTGTTATGACTTTTTTTATCTGTAGACGACCGCATTAGGCATATCCCTGTGGTTGATGACAAAGGTATGATTGGCATGGTCTCCATTGGTGATGTCGTTCGAGCAGTGCTGAATGAGCATCGGGAGGAGCTGGATCGTCTTAATGCATGTACGTATATATACAAGGGGGTCACTAGAAAAGTAGTTCTAGAAGAGTCAAATACCACTAGATGAAGATGGCAAAAACACCTAAAGTTTGGTTTGATCTGACTATGTGCTGCTCATTAAGCTTGCGTTCTTAGGTCATGCCTTTTTTGTTCTATGTTGGCTAATAAGTGAGTTTCCCGAACTATTCAGGCTTTTCCCGTGTTGATTTTTTTCGATGCAAACATTCTTGGGAATTTTTTGTATTGTCGGACTCTTGGTGTTCGGGTTTGTGAATACATGGTTGAGATTCTAGTGGTCTAGAATTAATTACCTGCACATTAGGCCTTTGTTTGTTTGTGATTCATTGAAATAATTCGCCTGTGCAGATTTATTTATTTTTATAGTCATTATTGTTGTGCAACTTAGCGTTTTTCTTTTGGGTATATACGGATGGGATTTTTTTTTTTATTCATCTCTAAAGATTTATTAGTATTTGCATCATACACCATCTTCTTATAAGGATGTCGAGCTAAATATGCGCATGCTTAATCTGAATTTTCTTTCATGTGATATCGGATATCCACCTCGTAAGAGATTAGAGCATGATTAATTTATCATTTTATTATCGCAAGTTTAGGATCTCATATGATAACCGATTGACTTCTTGGAGCCAATATGGACCCTTTCTTGTACGTACGCTCTTGGAATAGTTGAGGTAGATGATGTGGAGGTATGCTATGAGCCAAGTGCTCTAAATTCAAAAACCTACAAAGTAGATGGGATATAATACTATGAATGTATCCTCCTCTGTTCGTAAGAGTTAGAATGTATACGAGTCGAAGATTAAGATGAGAAAAAAGAAAAATAGTATTAAAAAAAATAAAAAAAACTATTTTATTATGACAGGAGTCCTCCTTCCTGGTATTTAAATAGCAACGAGTGAGTCGTTAGGGAGGATAAACAAAATACTTATGATTTTTTTTTTTAGCTCTGACCAAGTCGGACCCACAGCGACATTTATGGTCAGCCCTACACCCACGTATGTTTGGGAGATAAACCAGGAGAACGGATCCTTCTTCCCTCCTCCTCCTCTCTCCTTCACGTACATTTGGCCACATCCATCTCCGCACACCTATATAAACACTTGCAAATCTATGTCCAACCTCCGCCTCCCTCTTCTCTTCCACTGCTCTTTGGCTCTCCTCAGTTTCCAAACCCTCCAAGAGAGCCACCATGGGGCGACAGCACCAAACCGCCTCTCTCCCACTCATCCTGCCTGCCGCTCTGCTCCTCCTTCTCGGGGCCACCATAACAGAAGCTCGCGTCCTCCGCCGCGTCAATGACCGCTCCCTCTTCGACGCCACCTCCGAATGCAAAAAAGCATCGTACCCCGATCTCTGCAATTCCCTTGCTCCCTCAGCGTCGGTCGGGTCCCTGACCGCCGCATCCATCGACGTGGCCACGTCCAAAGCCAAGGAGGCAGCAGCCATTTCCGCCAAGCTTATGAAAGCCCCTGGCACCGAGAAGCTGATGAAGTCCACCCTGTGTGTTTGCCGTGATGCCTTCAGCTCCGTAGCTGACAGTCTCCAGTTGTCGGCCAAGAACCTCAAGGATGCAGCGCACACTGACCTCATGGTGAACCTCTCCGCCGCGATGAGCCTCAAGGCCAACTGCGCTGATGCGTTCCAGGATTGGCCGGGTTTGGTGTCACCTGTTGCCGATATCAATGACCACCTTTCGAAACTGGTTAGCAATAGCCTGGACCTGGCTTCTACTTTGAAGAACTGAGGAGAGACATCCACGGAAAGAGCAACTGGCGAGATAATATATTGATCATAGAAGTGAAGGTGGAGGATGTTTTTGTTTGGATTAAATGATTTAAAAATGATCTTTGAAGCTGTGAGGTTTAAGATTCATGTCTCGGTTATAAACCACCCTCTCCTCGTCTTTTTATTCATTTGGTTTGCTTACTGCCACTCCACGTTCGCATGCGCTGCATGCATATCTTCCACGAAATAACAACGAAACTCAACTTAACCTCTTATTCTCTTCTTTAGTTATAGGAGCATTGTTAGCTTACTTTTTTTCTTATGTGGTGCACCGGACAATCAGTTTCATTACCAACCAGAGGCCAACCACGTAAAGGGGTTGTAAACCCAAAATTTCGAGTTCAAGGCTTTCAGGCCATCTTTTCTACTCGGTTAAGGTTAATGCTCTAAATCGGATAGATGAATTTTGATTTTTTTTTTTAATAAACAATTGTTGGATCTAAATCAATTCACTTTCACCTAATTCATAACGTAGGAGTGTTCAATTCGAATCAAAATAATGCAAAATCAGTTTATCAGTGATTCAATTTTCAAGATCATGAATGGTTTAGTTCAGAAGGTCTCCTCTTTGTTTCGAATAATTGATTCTGATTAATCAATTCGAACCGAATCAAAATAGATTTTAACAAAAATATTATCAATCCGATCGAGTGTGTTATCTTACTACCTCAAACAGATTAATCAAATCGGTCTAAACATTTAATTTGATCCATTTTCGATATCAAAATTTTATAAATGACGTTGGTTAAATTTGATAAATATTATCTTATTGATACAATTCAACCAACATTTGGTTCGATTTAATTATAATTTATTTTAATATATATTAAAATATTTTTTTAAAACATATAAATTTAAAAATAGTATTCAAATCAGATTAATTAATTTTAAATTAATTCGATAAGTCTAAATTCATCCTAACAACTATCTTATTTTAATCGAATCAGTTCGAAATTTGATCCGGGTAGCTCATTCGAACATCCTACGGTAGCCCTGGCGGCAACCAGAGAATCGACTCGATCCTTGCCGTGCGACGCACGAAACCCATTCCATTTACCAATTAATTACGTCTTTGCCTGCCTCCCGCCCACCATCGCTTCGACCGTCGTCTTTTTCTTTTCCTGCCCTCTCTTCTTTTCCTGTAGCTCATTCCTTCCTTCGATCCCCCCAACGCCAAATCGAAAGCCGAAAAAGAACAGAACAGCTGGTGGAGCGCAAAAAGGAAAAGCTAAAGACAGTATTCTACCACAAAAAAGCCCTAAAAGATGGCTGCAGTGCTGCCGTCTCTCCTCCTCTTCATTCATCCAGACACGACGGAGGAGGCCATACAAGTAGCGATGGTGCGTGACCCCTCCGTGACTTCTTTGCCTGGAACGAGAAGAAGAGAAGCGAGAAAGGAAAAGAATTGAGGTAGGGCGAGATGGCGAGCAGCAGCAAGCACGGAGGAGGGGAGGGCGCCGGTGTGCCTAAGGTGGTGAAAGCACCCTCTAGGAAGATTACGCGGATGCCGACGATGCTGGACGTGCAGCAGGAGGAGGATGCGCCTGCCCCGCCCGACAGCGAGCTCGTCCCCCCCTCCCTCAACGCCATCGTACCCATCCTCCGCGTCGCCAACGATATCGAGAGCCTCAACCCTCGTGTCGCCTATCTCTGTAACTAAAGACCTCAACCTACCTCTTCTCATCTTCGCTCTTCTTATTTTGACCTCTGATGCGATGATATACTAAATTGCCATCTTGGGAAAAAATTATCTATATTCTTGCTTACTTTTTGACCTCTGATGCTGGCTGTTTAATCATCTAAAAAAGGAAAGGAAAACGCCACATATCGATGCATGCAGGATGAACACCATCAATATAATTGCTCAAGTTGTCAGACAGAACGTCTAGTTTCCGTCTACGTTCACCATTGCCACCACACCGTCTCATCGTCCTCCATGGGGGTGGAGATGCTGGGAGTGGTAAACACAAAGCAGAAAGAATGACGGGAATTCGGTATTGCTAATTAATCAAGTAATATATATATGTATATGTATATGTATATGTGTATATGTATATATGTAGATATATATACATACATATATATACACATACACTCACACACACGCGCACACACACACACACACACACACACACACACACACACACACACACACACACACATATATATATATATATATATATATATATATAACGATGAGAATATGTAACTGAGAATTCTATGTGAGGCTTAGGTGATAATTTTGTTTAGCTTTATCTGGATTGCTTGTATTCCTTAATGACTAGCCTCACTGGAGATTACTGAATAATGATGATAATATGCAACTGAGAATTCTATGTGAGGCTTAGGTGATAATCACACTCACTTTCTTCTGATTTTTAGATTGCTTATTGGAATACATAAATGACATGTGTTGCCTAATGAAACCTATGATACCCCTTTGTTATCATGCAGATTACTCCTTACTTGCCATATGCTTTTTTAGAGTTTATCATATACTTCTCCAAGTTCTACGAATTTCTAACCTTCTGCTTTCTAGTGTTCATAATCATTTTTGGCACTTCTCTTTTACTTAGTCTTTTCATTAAAATATTTTCTTTCTTATAATGTAAGGTCGCTTTCATGCATTTGAGATGGCCCATAATTTGGATCCTAAATCAGATAAGCGTGGTGTTCGTCAATTCAAAACATATCTCTTACATAGGCTGGAAAAGGTACACACGTTGTTGGCCAAGAATTTCTACAAACATTTAGATAGTCTTCTTTGTCTACTGAAATTATGTTCACTTATTTTTGAACCAGCTTAAGTAATTTAATTATGTAATCAATCTAATTAGTGTATGTATTATTCATCACAATTTACATATAGCCAACTTGGAGATTTAACAAATTACAATAGGTGGAAAATGCCATCGTAAGCATCTAGCATTGTTTCATCTTGTACAAGGGGACTCAAAGATAAATTTGATTAAGGATACAAAATGGTGGTTTGAGTGTGTTGATTGATTTAATTGGACAGTGGGCTCATTTATCTATAGAATAACAGAAAATCAATCTAAAGAGATATCAATTGACTGAAAACAGTTCAAAAATTGGAACCAGTGTAAACCTGGCCAAAACTTGTTGGAACAGGCGAGTTCTCTAGGTTTAGCTGGACCTCTCTGATATGCTGACTTGGGTTAAGTTGGGATATGTTCAGTTTGACTTGTAGTTGAAGCTGAAAATGGTTGAGCGCATTTAAGTTCAGTTCCACGGAGATGTAATTGATTTTGGTCATGTTTTTCATATTTTAAAAGTTGATGACAATGATGTTTAATTTGGTTGAACTCAAATCTCAATCTGGGTTGGTGGAACCTGCAAATTATAAGGACTCCTTGCATTAGAGGCAGAGTTGTCAGTGACTCCTTGCATTCTGCACTTCCTCTGGATTTAGGACTGCGACGTGCTTGGAGCTCTTTTGAATCCTGGCGATCTTCTTTGTTACCCAGCGTTGAAACGCCAAGGGTCATCTGAAGAGGGTTGCCTAAGGAGGCTTGCCCAAGAGGGTGAGGCTTTATGTGCTTGCACGTGGTGTAGCAGTGCGAGTTTGGCTTTTGTTGAAGGGAGGAGAGGTTGCTCTCGAAGAGGGAGATGACCCTTCAGTAGTGGGGCCACTGGAGGAGGAGCAGGGGGTGGGGGGGGGGGGAGAGGATTATGCAGTTTCTTTAGAGGAGGAGCGGGAGCACTTATCGCTGGCGGGGAAGACGGGGCACTCGCCGCCATTCCTTCAGTGACGATTGATTGATTCAGGATTGGGTCATTCTTCTTTGATAATCTATTTTTAAGCATTAGATGTCAATTTGATCACCAAGTAATGTAGTTTCTTTAAATAACCTATCTATGGCAACCTGAAGACTTGATCAATTGGGTTGGCTAGGCAGCCTTGATTCTCCGGTCATATTGAGGCTACACATAAGATTTCTTGATTAAAGCTTTCCAAGAATGTGCCAATTCAATCTGATCAGTAGGTTATGTCTTTTGTGTCTTACAGGGATTGTTGATCTAATCACAGGTTAGGGATTTGGTGGCCCTAAGTAGTCTTACGTTACAAATCTAATTTAACTCTTTGAAGTTTGAACTCTATGGACAAGATCGTCCGAATCCCTAGGTCTGGCTATTATCAATTTGTCCTATCTTACGTATAGTGCTTAGATGGTTGGGATGATAAGTAGATTAAATATGCTTGAAAATTTATAAACCAAGGATTGAAATTTCGTACCGTACTGGAGTTTTGAGCTTTGTACGGTATGGTATACTACGGGAATGCAAAGTGGTATGCTTAAAAAATATTAAAAATATATATTTTTATATTAAATTATATTAAATATATAAAATATATATAAAATCACAGAAATATAAAATAGTTAACGATGGTGCGCTTAAAACGATATTAAACATATTATATTTAAACGATATTAAATATACAAAAAATATGTAACTTACCAACGCTCGCCCGAACCCTAGCCGAATAGCTGTGACGTCGAGGGATGACAGTGGGTGTCGCAGTGAAGGAGCGGAAGAAGAAGAATCTTCTTCGGTGTCGAGAGATGGCAGCGGGTGCTGTAGCGAAGGAGCGGAAGAAGAAGAATCTTCTTCGGTGTCGAGGGAACGATGGTAGTGGGCGCTGAAGAGCTGCGACGTCGAGGGAGCGATGGCAACGGGCGCTGCAGTGAAGAAGGAGGAGGCAACGCCAGGTACTATTTCTCAAAGCTTCTCCCTCTTTCTCCCTCTTTTTCAAACGCCTCTTCTTCCTTGCCTCACCTTGTCGCAGTCGGGCTGACACCGCCTGGTAGCAGACGGTCCACGTGCTGGTCAGCTGGTGGACCGGTATGCATTGCCCGGTATGGGCGGTATCATTTGGTATTGCAAACCTTGCTATAAACCAAAGTTCTTGAATACGTAAGAGAATATAAATTTTCATGAAAAAGGTTGATGGTCAGTTATGCATATACTTTACTGTGACAATTTTAATGCTAAATGATAAATATGTCTTCTAAGTGCTAAATTTTCAAAACCATCCAACATTGGGTGTATCGTTAAATTTTATGTGCACAAAGTTGATTTTTGTTAAATTGTGAAGGTGATATGTCCTTAAAATTATCTATAGAATTGGCTATAAGGACAAAAGAAGCACAAAATAAAAGTGATCTATTTAATGTATAAAAGAACAATGTTTTTCGAATGCTAAGATGGTTACCTGTTATATATCATTGCGTGAATAATCTGTATTTCGCTGTTCCAGTTTTTGATTCTCTTTTTAAAGAAGTAAAATTATGGTTGTTGAAATAAAAAACAAATTGGAGTGTCCCTTTACGACTAATCAAATATTGTTATCTGCTAAGAAATTTCCAAAGAAAGAACAAAAAGATTATTGGCGCTAGTACGCTGACCTGGGTTAAACCACCATAAGATCTAAACAATTAGGTTGTTGTGGCAGCTCGAGAGCTCGAAGGATTGGCTTTGTTCTTTTTTACAAAGGATAAGTGGTGAAGATGATTTTCAATCTCAATATCTTACAAAATTTATTTGATGAGATTTTGGAATCCTCAACTTTTAGTAAGTGAATATTATATACCACTATTATACGATGTAAAAATTATCAGACAGTCTTGAGCTTTGAACCACTGGTTAATGGATATTATATACTACATCCATAAGTAGTAAGTGGGTTTATTACGATCATATCTTAGCTGTAAAAATCATTGGATGAGATGTACACTAAAATCCTTATTTAGACTACAATGTTGTCTTAAAATTTGTTTTTTAACTCCATCTTGTCAATTGAATAATAATGACAAAAATAATTTTTAAATAAGTGGGTTTGGTACAATGGGACCAACCCCAAAGAATTGTAATTTAAGGTTCTAATTATTGTTATTCGCTTGTCTTTTAGACTTCAATTTTTTTTTGCTGTAGGTGGTTTGATTTAAAAACATGTATAGAACATGAAAAAGAGGCAAAAAGAGCTGTAGGTATGCCAGGTATAAAGCTTATGATGACTTTTATTATAAGTTAGGGACTAAGTATGAGAAAATAATATATATCAAATTGCTAAAGATAGGAAAATAAAGAATAAAAATTTAGGTAATATTTGATGCAAGGTTTGTTGTACCGTACCGTACCGGCGTTTCGACCCGGGCTCGGTACGGTATGATACGGTGTACCGAGCGGTACACCTGATTTCACCGATTTAACCCTATGAAAATACCTAAAAGTTAAAAAAAAAAGTTAGGTTAGGGTTTTCAAGTTACAAATAAATATAGTAATAGTATAAGTTTAGCAAAATCAATAAAATTAGGTAAGAATAGTATCACATATCTTTTTCGGGCTTTGAGGTAGTCTTGTTCGAGGTTCGTATTTCAGCCCGTTATAGATTGAAATATCTACAGAAAAATCAGTTGAATTGTTAGACTATTTTGTTACAATATAAACTCTAAATTCAAATGAATTAAATAATCATATATCTAGATATACCTGATTGTTGATTCTACCACCAAAACGAACGACGGGCCTGCACGGGTGGTGGATCGGGGTCCTCGATCCGATACATATCAATATGATACGTTTGTTGGACCCAATCATGAAATTGATCCCATGACATAGTGTATTGATACACCGTATGCCATTGATGCATCAATATGGTGCTGATCGTAGATTGATCGTCATGAATCATATTTGTCCGAGGCAGCTCTTGAGGCATATATTGGTGTTGTTCTGTATCATGCTGTTGCTCAGAGAAGGATGACCAACTATCACCATATTATTGTTGCCCGTATGATTCTCCATAATACGATGGTTGTGAATACGATGAGCCTCTTTCTGTGTCTATATCATGTATGCTCTGTCGCATTTGTTCATATTCATCCACTGCTTTCCCCTTCCCCTTCCCCTTCCGTGCATAAACTTGATCAGTACCTTGTCGAGTTCCATGATCCGAATCTTGAGTGGCATGTGTAAAATATTGCTCCTCAGTCCATTCACCACCCTCAAGTTGTGTAGACGAGACCAACGACTGCCCGACATCACCGCCATCATCCGTCGAGGCACTGCTGTCCGTGTTGCTGTCATGTCTCTGGACTGAGCGAGAAAGAGAATGTGATTGTGAAGGTGTCTCGTCGCCCGACTCGATTCTTTCCAACGATACAACTGATGCTACTGCCTTCCCCTTTGCCTTTGCACGTTGGGCGGACGAGTGTGACCGTTGGGTGTCGGTAGTTCCTCGAGCAGTTTGATTCCTACCATGTTGTAATCGAGGGGGATTTTCCACCTATTGGGGTTATGCTTCTTCTTCTTCTATTGCCTCGGTGATAAAACGTGAAGGACGCTGAAGATCTCCCGCCTCATCAAGTGGAGGATCCTCTTGGTTCTCTACTGCTTCAACCCAATCTAACATTGGCTTTGAATCTTCGTTGTAGAATTGGAGATCAATGAGATCAATATCTGATTCCTCTGGCTCCTTATCCAACTCAGCACATCGTAATTTTAGCCGCATGTTATAATGGACATATACTAGTTTCTTTAACCGTCTGTAGGAGAGTCTGTTGCGGACCTTCGTATGAATCAATGCAAACGTTGACCAATTACGTTCGCAACCACTAGATGTTGTTGTCTGTGAAAGTACACGAACGTCAACCTTCCTTAAATGTGGTGCATCGCCTCCAAATTGTAGCCACCACTCGACTGCAAAAAGATATAAATAAGATTTTATTAGCATAAGAAATAATTAACATTAAATATAATTGATAATTAATATGCATAACTTTTCCTCACTAGGATCCATAGTCTAACGACACGATACAGTTACAACGTCGGAGAATGAACCAACTGTTTCTCGAAATAATCGACCCTCCATAAGAGCATCGACTGCCTCAGTAGTATTTGACAAGAGCCGATATATAACATTTCGTAGTGTCGTTAGGAAATTATTTTGCGTTCCGAGAGCATATCGATATTGAATTGTCGGGTTTAGATAATACGCTGCAAAACATAATTTTGTTAGTATGATTTTTTGTTATCTAAGTAATAATAAATTAAATTATTCTGAATATGAATTTACTTGCATTATGGATATCTTGATCTATATGAACTTCGGTCCGACGATCAATGATTCGTATGTATTGGTCGGCCTGAAAATCATCTTTGAATGCTTTCCTGATCTCCTCTCTTGCTGAAATCAACATATATTTAAGATACGACATCTGTGGACGCTTGTCCATATCGACCTTATGGAGGACAATATAAAGTGGTTCCACACCTTTTATGATTTATGCTATAGTCTTCCAAAATCTAGAGGAAAGAATGATCTTTTCTATCTTCTTTCCATCACTCAATTTCGAATATCTGGATTTAGACCACTCTTGTGAGCTAACCATTGCCTTCAAGCCATGCATTTTTTGCTATAATGACTTTAATGCAATAAAATTGGTAGCAAACCGAGTAATTCCAGGTCGAAGTATCTCACCGTTTACATACTTTTGCATTAATGCGTGGACCCAATGATGATTATATATAAACTTTGTAATTGATTGTGCTCGAGCTACACATTTCTTGACCGCATCCAACTCACCAATATCCTTCAGAATTAGATCTATGCAATGAGTTGCACATGGAGTCCAAAACAAAGTTTTTCTTTTTTTCATCAATTGCAAGCCGACCTTTTTGAAATTCGCTCCATTGTCGATTATTATTTGGACAACATACTGTGGTCCAATCTCCTCTACCATAATGTCCATCAAGCTCTCAATATAGTTTGCATCTTGGATCTTTTCAGAAGCATTAACAGATTTATGAAACACCACTCTTCTATTGCAATAAACAAGAAAGTTGATGATACTCATTCTTGTTGGTCCTGTCCAACTGTCACACATCAATGTCACCCCATATTCGTCCCATTGCCTCTTGAAGGATTTGATCCAATCCTTTAGTTCTGCCACCTCCTCTTCTAAGTATACGCCGTAAATCTTCTTCGGTGTTGGAGGTTAGATCCCCGTGCCAGACTTTTGAATAGAAGAGATCATGCTCTGATAATATGGACCTTGGGCAGTGTTGGCTAGAATCCTATGAAAGTTGAACCATTTTGAGTTTGCCTTCCCAATATCCCGTTTTTTTTTCTTTTGTGTATGCATCGTCAATTCGTGTCTGTTTCGCTGTTTGTGGGGGATAGGCTTGCGGATCAATATCTGGTGCGGACCTCCTGCCAGGACCTCTCATAAAACCACGGAGTCCACCATACCTCATGCTACTAGTTTGGCCTAACTGAGAAGGAGCAGTTAATTGCCTTATGCTGGTTGACCTTTGGATTCCACTACCACTGCCATGCTCTAATTGTGAGTCAGGTCGTCGATGCCTCATTGCTTCATCGACCGTATATTGATGCTTCAATGATGCACGAATCCCAGCTGTGAGATCCGGGTCGACTTCATCGCCGCAACCCTCATACTGATCATAAACTGGTTCCCGTGTAGCCCTATGATATTCTTCCTCAACTCTTGCCTTCTTTTTTAATGTATCTTCCTTTGCTTGTTTAAGCTTGCTTTGAAATAATTTACGGATCTCCGTTGGAACATTCTTGCATTTTGCAACATCCGGATACCCACCAGCCAAATGCATTTTCACTCGAGTTATTGCCAATGATGACGGTTTCCATCTAGCTTTCGAGCATGAACCCATGCATCATCATGTGGCTGTTCCTTTGGTGCCATGATCCTACCAAATTTAAATCAAATAAACTATAAAGTATAAGCATATTAAATTGATCAAATATCGATCATAAATCACTAATCGCAACATTAAGTAATTTTATTAAAACATAACTAATCATATTTTATTATTATAAATATGTTATATGCATAAAAAAAGGTACTAAAATCATTAGCTACACTAATTACGCGATTAACATAGTTAATTTTTCACTAATTACTTCTTTTTTAACACTATAAACATGGCAAACACCCTAATAGGTATTAAAGATATTGGATTGACATAAAATCGAACAAATTTTGATTAAATCATTATTAAAATGACTAATTATAATATTAAATAACTTTAATAAAACATAATTAAATTTATTTTACCATTATATATATATTAAACACATAAAAGAAACATTAAATATGTAATTTTAATCAAATATGATTCAAATTATGATAAAATCATCATTTATTTGCACTAATTATACGATTAATATAGCTAATTTTTCACTAATTACTTCTTTTTCACCACTATAAACATGATAAATACCCTAATAGGTATTAAAGATATTAAATTGATATAAAATCAAATAAATTTTGATTAAATCATCATTAAAATGACTAATCGCAGCATTAAATAACTTTAATAAACCTTAATTAAACTTATTTTATTATCATAAATATTATTCAATATTTACTATGCATGAAACACACTAATCATAATTTTAAATATCTTAATTACTCTCTAATTAAAGAAAACGAATTCATACCTCTTGATTAGAAAGTTCTTCCTCTTAATCTTCCTAAATTAGCCTCAATTGAATTCACAAATCGTTGTTTTATAGAGTTTAGGAGAGAAAAAAAAGTTTGAGAGAGAGTTTAAGAGAGTATAATGAAATAGGGGAGAGAAGAATGGTTTAAATAGGAGGAGAAAGGGCTCCAACGGTCAAATTGGAGCACTGTAGCACTGCTACAGTGTGGTAACGGTCGATTTCGACCGTTACCGAGTGGTGCCGGGCGGTAACGGTCGAAATTTCGACCGTTACCACCCGATATTACCCCGTATCGTCTGATACGGGTTTTTTTTTTGTGCGTACCGCCCGGTAGCGGGCGGTCTGCGTACCGATAGCCTGTCGGACCAGTACGTACCGCCCGTACCGGGCGGTATGATTCGGTATGACAAACCTTGATTTGATGTATTGAGGCTGAAGATAAAAAAGTACATATTAATGATAATGATTATTGATAAAATTAAGAAAAGATGGAAAAATATTTTTATAAATTATTTAATGAATATTTCATAAATATCTAAATCCTATGTATCGATAACAGTGGTAGTTTTATTGATCAGAGATTTGTTATTTGAATTGGAGTAAGTGCGGTTGAGGAAGCCCTAAAGAATATGAAGGAAAGGTAAAATTATGGGATCTTAGTGTTGGGTAGTTAGGAGACAACATATATAAAAAATTTATATTGCTAAATGTGAATGCTGAGATAGTTGTGCAGAATTATTAGGAAAAATAGGAAATAAAAAAATTTTATTCATGAATAATTAGGTATCGAGACCTATAAATGTTATAGTTAAAAGATGTGAAAGTATTAATATTAGTGTTGTGAGAAGAGATAGAGGGTGACATGGAAGATTTTTAAGAAATTATGGATAAAGATTTAAATATTCTTAATTTAGATGAATTATGACTTTTTGCAGAGCCCAATGACGACAAAATATCTAATGTAATTTAATCGATCCCAAACAGTTGGGAGTATATGAGATTGCCTACTATTACTTGTTAAACATATGAGCTTTTTATTGTCCTGCAGGATGAAGAGGAAGTAAAGCCGCAACTTGCCAGAAGTGATCCGAAAGAAATACAAAGGTTCTATCAGTATTACTATAATGATTTCATCAAGGAAGGATCTGCCAAAAGCAAACCGTAAGCCTGCCATGCAAGACTTTTTGAATTCGTTGTAACTAGTACTTTTTTGGGATACTATCCTCAATTTTATGGCTTGTCCTAATTATGGAACTGTTCAGCGAGGAGATGACTAAACATTATCAGATTGTATCTGTATTATATGATGTGCTGAAAACTATAGTACCTCCAGATAAAGTTGATGATGAGGTTTGTTTTGACTATTGAAAATATATGCAGTATGCATGTTTTTCCTTCATTTAGTTTTATTTTCTATCTAATATTAGCTGCACCTGTTACTTGCAGATAAAAAGGTGTGCTAGAGAAGTCGAGAGAAAGAAAAGTCACTTTACACCCTATAACATTCTTCCTCTTCATGTTTCTGGTGGTGCATCTGCAATCATGGAGCTTCCAGAGGTAAGTCACATAGTTTTTCTTCTTGGTTACTCAGTCACTAGGTAATTATGCTCTTTTCACTTTTAGTCTTCATTCTCTTGTGATTGCTTTTCCACTTCATGCTGTGGCACTTTTTGTCTTGAGCCTCTGGTGATTACAGATAAGAGCAGCAGTGAGTGCACTACGTAAAGTGGATAATCTTCCAAGGTCTAGACGACAGCCGTCTACCAGTTCACAGCCTGAAGCTGATGGAATCCTCGTGTTTGACGATGGGGAAAGTTCTGTTCATGATTTACTCGACTGGCTTGGTTTAAATTTTGGTTTTCAAGTAAACACATAGTTGACTTATTTAATGTTGTCATTTGTATTATACATATTCCCATCTTTTGATAAGTTAACAAATGCAACTTGTTTAAATGTAGAAAGGAAATGTGGATAATCAACGTGAGCACTTGGTTTTGCTACTTGCAAACATTGACATGAAGAAAAAGGCTCTGGAAGAATATTCCCTTGTAATTGTCTTTCCATAATGTTCATGTCGAGAAATTCATCATTTATATATTTCTCTGCACATTCATAACTTGGAAATGCTGTTTACAGTTGGATGCCAATACGGTCGAATCTCTGAAAAAGAAAGTCTTCAAAAATTATGAGTCATGGTGTAAATATTTACAATGTGAATCGAACATTAAAACAATTTTGCCTGGTTCGAATGATCAAAGGTACAATTTTGTGAGTAATATCTATACATTAACCAAGCCTTATGATCTGATATCTGCATTTTTATCATCTTTTAAACAGGCGTCTCAGTGATGCTGAGTCACAACAGTTGGAGCTTCTTTACATTGGATTGTATTTTCTTATTTGGGGTGAAGCTTCCAATGTTCGGTTTATGCCTGAATGTCTGTGTTATATCTTCCACCATGTAAGTATTGTTTAAATGCCAATAATAACTGTTGTCTTGTGAAGCATCATATGTTTATTGGTCCATTTAGCTAACAAGTGTAGAAAAACCAACTTTGGTGTATCCTGCTATTGCTGATCGATTTTGTTCTGTCTTTTGACATTTCATGTTTGTATCAATCTTTGAAACCTCAGCTGGAGTTGATAAATCTAATATTCAACTGAAGTTGTTCAGCCATTAAAATTTCATGTTTAAGTTATATATATATATATATATATATATATATATGTTTGTGTGTGTGTGTGCATGCACATTGCTAACAATATAATGGTGTAAAAATTCTCTTATCATGAACTGAAGGCAAGAAAACATAAATTAGTGGCATCCAGTTTGAATAACAAGAACAATATAAGGTTAAGCACATGCTCTCCTTGTAGGTTCATTAAATTGATATACAACATGTAGCTAGAAAACTTAATTAAAGAAAAGTTCCACTATCATGAGATGCATGCTTATATCTGGAGAGACCTTAAAAAAGGGCTTATTTGTTTTGTGCTTATTTAACTTACAAATGGCTAGATTGCAGAAATCTTGACACCTCTTTTGCTATCACCATAGGCCAGGATGATTAGAGGTATCAGAATTATACATGTGTGTTGATTCAACTTTGCCTTTCCACTTTGCCATCACTTGGTAGAGGCTCGTAGGGTAGCACAAGAACCAACTCTGCTCCTTATCATATTCTTGCATCGTGTCCATTTTGACTTTTCTTTGCATGATATCGGGTAACACTACTATGTTTTAAGTACCATAAAATTCCCATGTGTCCTTATTTAACATATTTAATATCGATTTTTAATACATGTAATTTATTTTGGAATTAATGTATTTAATGTCATTTATCTTGGAATAAATACATAATTCATATTTAGTTCATTTTCTCATAGAACTAATTTTTGCTATATGTTTTTTTAAATTCATCTATGTTGATTCATCTTCTCTTGGAATGTGTTTAATGATAAGCAGACTATTTTTATTTAATTCCATTTCCATTGAATTAATTATTTTTCCTTCAAATTTGTTTGTTATTAATTGCAATATTCTTTAATATATTTTGTGTACAATAATCCATGTTTAGCATTGACATGCAACTACTTGTTTGAATATTAAAATTGAATGTAGATTATCAATGTGATATTGAGTAAAGCTATGTTCATACTTGTATAGATTTTTTTTATATATTTTCCAAGTGCAGGGGATGGAGGATAGGTTCATTAGATGGTTGATCACAATCATAAAAGCTTGCTGTGATATATATCGAAATGGTTCATGAGAATGCTAGGAAGCTACTCATAATAGGTTTATGATTGTTCTAGGGTAAGTTTGGGACTAGAGAAAGAGAAACATTTTTAGGTTTATTGGAGAGAGGAAAAGTATGTGTAGAGATTTAGGTGACTTAGATGCTTGAAATGCACACCGAAGAGATCTTGGTAGTGATATAGTGGTATTAAAGAAAAAAATGGAGAAATTACTGTATAATTTATTTGATGAACATCCCATGTATAATCTAATTGGGAGCTAGAAATGTGATATGATATGGAACCGAAGGTTTGTATGACATGTGAGGACAGGCCAGCTAAAATAAGATTCAAAAGACGATGCAAATGCATACGTGTGTGAGGCCTAATATCATCCCTATTAAAGTTTGGGAGATTATTGGATAGGTTGTTTTAAGTAGTTTACTAATTGTTACTACTGATCTATAAGAGTAATGAATGTATTCAAAGTCGATAAAATTATCAGGGAACTGGATCAGTGAGGTGTACCATTATTCCTTGGAAGAAGGTGATGACACAATTTAAAATAGAAGAGGGCTGTTTTGTGAAAATCAATTTTGGATTATTTCAAGAAGACAAGAAAAAAAAAACCAATTACTTTTGGATGCAATTAATGAAAAAAATTGTAAAAGGAATTAAGATTTACACATGATTTTATTGAATTAAAGAGGCATTTTGGAGTGTTGTGGAGATATAATGTTGTGGGATTCAGAAAAAGGATATAAACTAGTTGTTAGTTGTCAGATAGTTGATATTTCTATTCTTTTTGGTAAGCTTTGATAGAAGACAAAATGAGAGAAAATCAAAAGATAGTATAATTATATTAAAGGGATAGGTAGAATGTGACATCAGAAAAAGCTAGCTAGAAACAGTAAAAAAATAGACTTGAGTGTTCTTAATTTAACTAGGGATATAACCTTACATAGAACTCAATGATGAGAAAAGATCGTTGTAGTTGACCCTAAATAGTTGGGATAACTTTTGTACTATATGCTATGTTGATAACATGATTTCTAAATATCATGTTGGGATAAGCCACAGAGGGAAGCTGTGGATAAACTACAAACTACAAACTACAAAGTATACCATATCTTATACTTTGTGGAAATTCTGTTGATGCTTGCTGGTGTTCTTTTCTACCAAACAAGTATCTATTATGAACTTGTTACTTCTACCTTTGCTGGACTACTGTGGCATTTTATGGATCTTATATCAAGGTATTCTCCAATTTGAGGAGACAAACCTCCTATCATGGTATGCTCCATTCAGGAGAATACATACTAAATACTTAACTCAGGAGACAACCCTCCTATCAATGTATTCTCCAATTAGAGGAAAATTAACCTATCAAGAATTAAAGAAAAGGAAATTCACTACCAAACTATGATAATTCATAATTCTATTACAAGTTTACGACTGTGAAGTAGCCATTACCAAGATATATGTTCTAGGGGTAAAATAGGCCATATTTATATAGTAAACTAATATACCTTGTGGGGGACTAGTTTCTTTTCTGGAAATCTTGGAATCTCACAAAATTCCATCTAAACACATGTATATAGCTCTCTATAAATCTCACCCCTGATGACTTAAGGGCTTTCCCAACACTATTTATAAAAAAATAGGACTTATATACATACAACATAATATGACTTTAAACTTGATCCATTGTAGCAATTGAAATGAAGACCAAAATTCATCCACAATAAAGGACAAAAGAAATCTAACCACAAAGTATTTGTCTTGGACCAACCAAGTTGGGACCCCCACAGGGAGTTGTGTGACTACCTTGTAACAGTTTCCCGCCTATCATATCCTTCTTGCCTCAAGATGGAGGTCCTTGTGCATGTAAAGGGACAACAATCATCTGCTTCTTTCTCCACTTTCATTTCACTAAACTTAGTACAATGTAAACATTGCAGAAATTGGTCTCCAAGTCAAAGAACAAAATCATTTAACTGCTTGTACTGTGACTGTGGTGGCGAATCAGGAGGCTCCATTGTGTTAAAATTGCAGCGATTTAGTTTCCCTTGACCTCTAAAATATCCATCTTCAGTTCATTGTAGGCTGCCAAAGATTGTTGGAGACCTTTGCACTCTTTAGATAAATTAGAAATTTGTTGCTGTTATGTTCTCCTTTGTAGTCCTTGGTTGTTGTAAATCACTATTGTCAAGGTTGTTTCATTAGATGTCAAAACACAGTTCGAATTGGATCAAAATATGAGGTATGAAAACTAAGCCTTCTGATCAGTTTGCCGGGAAGGCTTCCCATAACTGATGAATTGCTATGTGACGAAGTATGTCCTGTTACCTGCTGTGATCACGTGGGTGCATCAAATTCCAGCAGACTGACAGTCATCATAAAATTGCTCATTGTACATTAGAGGTTTTGGTTTTTCATTAAATTTTTTTAGGAGGGGGTGTTCAAAAAATTGTTTAGAGACATTGTCATTGCAAGAAGGTACCATCAACACTATCAATGCAGGAGGGTACTCTATTCACTTCATGGACTAAATACTGTCCCTGGAAAGCCTGCAATTCTATACTTACCATAAATTTATAACAATATCTATATGCATTCATCATCAAAATTGGAGTTGGGTTAGAAATTTTGGAGACTTCCATTTAGATATACATAATTGTCATAAACTTAGTTATAGTATTGCGGGGGATTGTTAAGGAAGATCACCTTTCTCATATCAAATAATGAGATATGACCTGGCCATTAGGTTTTCTCTAATTCGACGAGTGTGGACCTTCCAAAGATATAAAGAAAGAGATATCATACTGCTAAATGACAATAATTCTACTTGAACAATCGATAAGACAATATTAAGACCTTCTTTAAGACGTACAATATGCAACATATGCAGTAAACTAAGCAAGAGTTCTCGTTTTTAGAAATCTCTGAGACCTATAAAATCATAGCCAAAAACATATTTATGACTTTCTGAAAATGTCAAAACATCCTTTCACACTGACAATATACAATATATGTCTTAAACCAAGGCAATTTTCTTTTCTAAATTCTATGAAACCTGTAAAATCATATCCAAAAACACAACTACAACTCTCTGAAAATGACTATTAATGGCTTGAGGACTTTCCCAACTGTGTCTATAATCAAAATATTGTTATAAATAAGAATACAGTTCAACATATGACTTTAAATATCAACTATAATATTAAAAAATAACCATAAGAAAAGCAAAAAAAGAAAAAAACAGTCCATCTGAAAGGTCCTTGTCTAGGTCAACCAAATTGGAGTTCTCACAGCGGTGGTTTTGGTATTGACTGCTTCATTGCACAAGGCTAAATATTTAAAAAATGGACTCATAAATCTATGTCAGAGTTCTCACAGCGGTGGTTATGATATTGACTGTGTCATTGCACAAGGCTAAATATTTTAAAAAAATGGACTCATAAATCTATGTCAGATGTTCTTTTTAGCTTGAAAAAAATGTTGTTACGGAAAAGTGGAAGAAAGGAATAACATAATTAGACCAATAAGGCTATCTTGGCAAAAGTACTTTTATATGCTTGTAATTCTAGTGGCTTCTGTTGACTCTTTTTATCTACATTTGGCGCCAGTTTACTGTTTTTCTTGACACCTCATCATATGTGGGTGACACAAGTGAATCCTATGAATAAAAAAAATGCCAAAAAGATATATATCTGCCATCAGACATACCAGCACACTAAGTCTGATCGTATTTTTAGGATAAGAGTTTTGTTTAATGTTACTTAAGGATCTTGTTATGTGTTTTCTTGCCTCCGATAGACAGTGATCTAACAGGCTCTTTTGATGAATCAAATAAGATGGCAGATGAGCTCTATGGAACTATAATTGGCAATGTCAAGTCTGCTAGTGGAGGTGTTTTTGAACCTGCATATAAAGGTGAAAGGTCATTTTTGCGGGATATTGTGACTCCCATCTACAACGTCCTGCTTAAGGTACATATAGGCTCCTACACGTACGGGAGTATGTTTTTCCTCAGCTCAATTAAGTACTCATCTAGTTATCGGGAGTATGTTTTTTCTTTTTTCCTGAAAAATAGCCAACAATGAAATCTCTCTATTTCTTCTAAAATGCAATAGGAAGTCCAAAGGAGCAAAAGCAGTACTCTTAGCCATTCACGATGGAGAAACTATGATGATCTGAATGAATATTTTTGGTTTGTATCCTTTTTATTCAAGTTGTGTTACTTAAGCTGTCTAGGAAATAAATATCCTCTTTTGCAGGTCCAAAGATTGCTTTGATAAATTGGGATGGCCAATGGATACTCGCGCGGACTTTTTCATGGATTCAGTGTCCATACACCCAAAAATTGATGATAAGTTTTTTGCAGATTCAGAGGCCATACACCGAAAAACTGAGGTTAAGTTTTTCACAGATTCAGAGGCCACACACCCAAAAACTAAGGTTAGGGTTTGTGCCTGCATCTATTGATGACTTCTGTTAGTTCTTCCTTTAGGTCAAATTTCAAATACTGGTTGGCTTGGTACATGGTGACCGGTATTGACCAGTCTGATCATGGATAAATATAAGACCATATAGGTTGGTACTAGTATCGATTGGAATTTCGGTTCGAAATTGATACCAGTCAGGAGCCATATTGGTATAGTACTTGTTCTGTAGTGTATCAAGTGTTGGAGCGGTTGGTACGGCCAGCCTAGCAGTTGGCAAAGTAGGGGCAACAGAGGAGGTGGAGGAGGAGAATAAGGAGGTGGAGAGGCAGCACTATGCAGATGTCATCGTATTTTTTATGGTTATGGCTAGGAGCAGTGATTTAAAAAGCGCTAGGCGTCAAAAGGCGCCAAGGTCCAAAAACGCTCGAGGCGCTAGGCGCTCGCCCAGGCGCTCGCTCGAGCGAAGCGAGGCGCTAAAATATAAAAATATATAATATAATTAATAAATATAATTATTTAAAATTTTAAATAAAAATATGCTATTAAATTAAGAAAATATATTAACAGTAGTGAAAATTAATCATTTCAAATAAACTTAATATTAACAGTATATTGTATACTGAGCCTGCTGACTGAGAAACGAGGAAGCAGCGGCGAGCGGCGAGCAATGGTAGTGGCAGCAGCAGCGGTAGCGGGAAAGGGAGTGGGAGCGACGAGCAGCGGGAGGCGCGAGCGGCGACAGAGGCAGCGTTTGCGAGCAGCGACAGCGGCGAGTGGCGACAACGACAGCGTTTGCGACCAGCGACAGCGGCGAGCAGCGAGATCGGGATCGGGATCGGGATTAGGGGTGGCAGCGGGTTAGGGTTGGGTAAGGGTTAGGGTTGGGTAAGGGTTATATCGGTTTAGTTGGTTCGATTGAACCAACTAACCAACCGAACCAGACCTAAAATCCTGGTTCGGTCGCCTTGGTTTACCCAGGCGCTCGCCCAAAGCACCCAACGCCTAGGCTTGGGCGAGCCCCCAGGCGGCGCCTGTTTGAAGCGTGCCGCCTGGGAGATTAGCGAGGCGCTCCGGCCTCGCCTCGCCTCGCCCGAGCGCCTAGGCGAGCGCCCGAGCGCCTTTTTCAATCACTGGCTAGGAGAAATGGTTTCTTGCTGTCAAAACTATGACAGAAATAGATCACATTTACATGTTAGATGGAGCAATGAACATGTTGCTGGGATTGGCTGACTGTTCTAGTGGTTCTAGATGAGTCATTTTTTAGGAATGCAGAATATGTGAAGTGCACTTGCCTAGAGTTTCCATATTATGCCTGTCCAGAAGCTACATAAGGTATTGAATGACTGGGTAGATGTCTGTATGCCTAGGGGAACTTTCTCCGAGGAAGAGAATGGTATTAAAAGCCATTTGTTGTATGGTACTCAAAAGGCCAGCATTGCTAGGTTGAGAAGAAGAAATAATATATCCTTGGGAAGAAAAGTAATGGTAATATTTGAGGGTAGAGGTTCCAGAAGCTCTATGATTTGATGGTTGGATGAGTGATTCAACTCAGAATTTCTTGATGATTTTTTGATTCAAGAAAGATGATCAAAAATAGATTTGTATCAACACATTATGTAAAACAGATAATCCATGAAAACTTAATTACTGAATGTTCCTTTATCACCATGATGATTCTTTGTCCAGTACAAACTTATCTTCACATATATTAAGTGGCGTGAAGTGTGAACTACTTTGATTCCCTAAATTAAGTGGTGTGGTTGTGGATTCAGAGGCCATACACCCAAAGACTGAGGTTAAATTTTGTGCCTGCATCTAGTGATGGCTTTTGTTAGCTCTTCCTTTAGGTCATGTTTCTAATACTGGTTGGGTTGGTACACGGTGGCCGGTATTTACCAGTCTGATCAAGGATAAATATAAGACCATATAGGTTGGTACTAGTATCGATTGGAATTTTGGTTTGAAATTGATACCAGTCAGGAGCCATATTGGTATAGTACTGGTACTGTAGTGTATCCAGTGTTGGTATAAATTGGTGGTTGGTACGGTCAGACGAGCAGTAGGCAAAGTAGGAGGTGGAGGAGGAGGAGAATGAGGAGGTGGAGAGGCAGCACTATATAGTTATCATCGTATTTTTTATGGATATGGCTAGGAGAAATGGTTTCTTGTTGTCAAAACTATGACAGAAATAGATCACATTTACATGTGAGGTGGAGCAATGAACATGCAGCTGGGGACTGGTCTAGTGGCTCTAGATGAGTCATTTTTTAGGAATGCAGAATATGTGAAGTGCACTTGCCTAGAGTTACAATATTGTGCCTGTCCAGAAGCTACAGAAGGTATTGAATTACTGGGTAGATGTCATTATGCCTAGTGGAACTTTCTCAGGAGGAGAGAATGACATTAAAAGCCATTTATTGTATAGGACTCGAAAGGCCAGCAATGCTCGGTTTAGAAGAAGAAATAATATATCCTTGGGAAGAAAAGTAATGGTACGTTTGAGGGTAGAGGTTCCAGAAGCTCTATGATTTGATGGTTGGATGAGTGATTGATCTCAGAATTTCTTGACGATTTTCTGATTCAAGAAAGATGATCAAAAATATATTTGTATCAACACATTATGTAAAACAGATAATCCATGAAAACTTAATTACTGAATGTTCCTTTATCACCATAATGATTCTTTGTCCAGTACAAACATATCTTCATATATATTAAGCGGTGTGAAGTGTGAACTACTTTGATTCCCTAAGTTAAGAATGGACTTTTTTATGATTAAAGTTGGTCTTTCTAACTGTTTTCAATCTGTGATGCTTCTGTTTACATGGGAGAGTATAAAAGTAATCTGTTTGTTCGTTTCATACCACCGTTTTATGGCAGAATGACCAATCTCTTAGAGGAAAGAGGAAACCCAAAACAAATTTTGTTGAAATTCGTACTTTTTGGCACTTATTCAGAAGTTTTGATCGCATGTGGACATTCTTTATATTAGCCTTCCAGGTATCTTTCTATTTTTGAGAATGCAAATCTTGTTCTTAGACAAACACCGGTTGATGCATTTTTGTCATGCTGTTACATACTTTCCCTCAGGCCATGCTCATCATTGCATGGAGTCCCTCGGGATCACTGACAGCATTGTTCGATCCAGATGTTTTTAAAAGTGTTTTAAGTATCTTCATAACTGCTGCACTGCTAAATTTTTTTCAAGGTACGATACTTAGATCTTGAATATGTTCTTCTTCGTGTCATTGAACTTTCACATCAGCTGAAGTTAGGGACATTAACTTTGTTCATGGTATTCTTTTCTGTTTATTCTCTTGATAAAATCTTCATGGACTTTGCAGCTGCTCTTGATATTATACTTAGCTGGAAGTCATGGGGAAGCATGCAATGCAGCCAAATATTTCGATACTTACTAAAGTTTGCAGTAGCAACTGCATGGATAATAATTCTTCCATTAAGCTATTCTAGCTCTGCCCAGAATCCTACAGGACTCACAAAATTCTTTAGCAACTGGGCAGGCGATTGGAGAAGTCAGTATCTTTACAGTTATGCAATTGTCATATACATGTTACCAAATATATTGGCTGCTATGCTGTTCATGCTTCCACCTCTTCGGAGGGCCATTGAACGCTCCAATAGGGTTGTTATTATTTTTCTCATTTGGTGGGCACAGGCAAGTGTTTACTGTATTCAAAATCTCAAGGACATGTTATTGGTTCTTGAGTTAGACAAGTTCTTATGAGACTTGTTCTTTATAATCTCAGCCACGGTTATATGTAGGAAGGGGCATGCATGAAGGCATGTTCTCGCTTCTCAAGTAAGATATTTACATCTTGGTTTTTCAATTTCAATTGGTTTTTTGCTCCACATAATGTAATACTATGCTGCTGATTTGGCAGATATACACTTTTCTGGATTCTGTTGCTCATCAGCAAACTTGCATTTAGTTACTATGTTGAGGTAATTGTCATCCAGTTTGCTTCAGGCAGAGAAACATTTAGGAATTGTCGGATAATATGCTTTTATATAGTTGCAAGTTTATTCAGATGGTGTCATTTTCATACTGGTGTTGTTTAGTATTCATTAACTTTCTTTTGCACAATGATTATTTACTTGGAAATATTTCTAAATCAGAAGGTTCTAGCCTTGTTTTCAGTGTACAAAAATTTTGTTATGTATACAACATGTGGATGACTTCTTTTAGGTACTATACTTCCTATTTAGGGATCATTCTTTGTAACTCTCTTTAGGTGCTATACGTACTGGTATTTCGACAAAGCTAAAAATAAAAAAACCTTTTCTAGAGTTTTTTTCTCCTAATTTGTTGATATATAAATTATATTTAGAAAAGAATAATGTGTATCTAAGTCATAAATAAATAAAAAGTCTAGTTTATAAGTAGTAAAAATTGAATTTATCTTTTTGAATCTGTGAAGGAACAACTTTGTCACATGGGTGTCCATCAAAGGAAGTTGGTTCCATTGATCTTGAATCACCTACAATTTCTCTTTTATCCTAATTCCTTGGTTATGCAAATCAAGAGCTTGATTATCACTAATCGCTAATTAGTAATTTTATTAACAACAATGTGAGAAAGATTGGGAAAGAGAATGAGAAAGTTCATAAGAGTAAGTGAGAAGGGAGTGGAATTTAAAGTCTCAAGGAGGTCCCAATGGTCAACTTGATCGTTGGGGCTTGGTTTGATCCATTATGGATTCAAATGAATCAAAATATGGTGGTTAGTGATCCATGATCTCAATGGTTATGTGTCGACACCAATCAAAATCTTAAGCTGGTAAAAGTATAGTTTGGTCTATATCATTCGATACACCACCCTTGTACAGATCGAAACAGTCAGTTTTTTGCACAACATTGGAAAAAGGTTGGTAAACGTACATGTCAACTGACAATTGGTACGTATGGTCCATTTTGTATCATTTCGGGTAGTGTATCAAACAATGCTCCTAATATTGTCGAAACATTATAACTAGTTTCTACCCATAACAACCATGCAATCTATACTAAATATCATGATCCGGTTTGTTGTGATAATTGACGCTTCAACTTGTTGAACACGAACTATTGCTCCAAAATGTTTAAGCCCAAGTTAATGATAGTATACTCATTTAGGCTGATAGACCAATTTAAATCTTCTCCCACTTCCTGTGGGACTAAACAAGCTAAGGGTGTTACAATGACTTTGCAAAGGATTTCAGAAAAGTTTATTCTAGGCAAAGATAATAAAAAAAAGTCATCAATTAGTTGACTTAGAAATTCTTTGAGTTGTATTGAAAATTGAAATGTCTTTTGGTCTTTCTAGGGATTCTTTTTGTATTAAGTGCACTCATTTACTATTTAGGTATTCTAGAAGTCACATTTTAAATTTTTAAAAGACATACTAAATCGTCAGGAGATTAATCTTGGGAATAATTGCCTTCATTAATTGTACCAAGGCTCCTAAACCTTTATAAATAGTGGAGCTTGTTAATTGATCAAACATTTTTAGATTTGAATGAAAAGAATTGTATCTTCTCTTGTCTCTTATTTTTCCCTCTTATCTCATATTTCTCTTTCTTTCTCTTTCCCTCTCGTTCTCGCTACTTCCTACTCTATTCTACATCAGTATTGTATTAGAGCCCCACAAGAAACTTGCCCTGTACCCCATTGAGTTCCAACTAAGAGCAAAAGCTTCGATCAACACTCAAGGATCTTTGCATCTCCAACGTTAGCCCCTTGCATGTGGAGTTAGACTTTGGGGCGATTATTCCTACGGAATTGGTGGACTAGATAGCTCTCAGTGCCGGTTAAATTTTTGAAAACTTTACTAATAGTGTTTTGTAGGAAAGAAAAATGGTATATTTCATTAGATCGCGATTTTTATTGCTTCTCCCCCTTGTTTTCTACTCTCCCCTTTAGCTATAACTACAGTACTAGTAAAATTTGAACCCTTGAAAGTTCTAAAAAAAAAAAAACAAACAAAAAGTGATGAAAAGAATGGGTACCATTTGAAGCATTGCATTTCTACGTTGTGCATTGCAACAATTAACAACCTCATTATCAAAGTAGCATTAGAATCATGACTAGGCGAGGTGAAAACCAAGCCAATCCTGATGAATCCCTAAACCAATAGAGTAAGGTAAACACTTTTAGGACCAGACTAGTAGATCATGACACAATGTTGAACCAATTATGTGACCAAATGACCCATGTCTTAATAGCTCTCCAACATCTTGAAAAATGACCTATGAATAAGGAGGTTGATGAATCAGTTAGGCAACATGTCCATTCTCCATACTCCATAGCTTCAAATAAAAAAAAAAACTTACTTCCAAGGCTCAGTTCGAACAAAACCTAGGTCCACCTATAGGGCACTTGTTTACAGTCATGCTCGAACAATTCCTAATGACCATGCTTTTGACCTTAATGATGAATTCCTAGAATTTGTTAGAAATTCACAAACCTGAGTAATGGGACAACGAGTTTGGTTTGATGTCAATATGGGGGAAATGGCTAGAAGAGTTAAAGTGGATTTGTCGGACTTTAATGGTGGGTTTGACCTAAATATGTTTGTTGACTGGTTAGATAGCTCTCAGTGCCGGTTAAATTTTTGAAAACTTTACTAATAGTGTTTTGTAGGAAAGAAAAATGGTATATTTCATTAGATCGTGATTTTTATTGCTTCTCCCCCTTGTTTTCTACTCACCCCTTTAGCTATAACTACAGTACTAGTAAAATTTGAACCCTTGAAAGTTCTAAAAAAACAAAAACAAACAAAAAGTGATGAAAAGAATGGGTACCATTTGAAGCATTGCATTTCTACGTTGTGCATTGCAACAATTAACAACCTCATTATCAATGTAGCATTAGAATCATGACTAGGCGAGGTGAAAACCAAACCAATCCTGATGAATCCCTAAACCAATAGAGTAAGGTAAACACTTTTAGGACCAGACTAGTAGATCATGACACAATGTTGAACCAATTATGTGACTAAATGACCCATGTCTTAATAGCTCTCCAACATCTTGAAAAATGACCTATGAATAAGGAGGTTGATGAATCAGTTAGGCAACATGTCTATTCTCCATACTCCATAGCTTCAAATAAAAAAAAAAACTTACTTCCAAGGCTCAGTTCGAACAAAACCTAGGTCCACCTATAGGGCACTTGTTTACAGTCATGCTCGAACAATTCCTAATGACCATGCTTTTGACCTTAATGATGAATTCCTAGAATTTGTTAGAAATTCACAAACCTGAGTAATGGGACAACGAGTTTGGTTTGATGTCAATATGGGGGAAATGGCTAGAAGAGTTAAAGTGGATTTGTCGGACTTTAATGGTGGGTTTGACCTAAATATGTTTATTGACTACTTAGATAGCATGGAATCTTGTACCAGGTGGTATGCTTAATGCTAGTGCAAGTTTGGTATTCACGAAATACTTGGCTAAATATCGCTTGATACAACCTGGTCTATGTATTGGTTAGTGGTCACACTAATATATTTATGCCCAACTAGGTTTTGCAACCCTGGCCTGTTTTATATATTAAATAATTCCATGTGATGTTTTGAATTTCGTGATCAACATCTTTGTACATATAGTAGGGTGTTGTGCCGTGGTGTCATGGACAAAGATGTAAATGAGATGTTTGATGTAATGTTCATGAATATCCGTATCTTTCGGTTTTGTTCATGTTTTGCACAAGCATTAGGTTTGCAGTAACCTTGGCAACTATAGTTTGGTTGGCTTTTATAGCCATTTCAGGCTTGTAAATATAGGTTGTTTGTAGTTATCGTGCAAAATCAAAACTTCCCAGAAACAAGCTATCAAAGCAGCAATTTTAGGGGTTTTCTAGCTTCGTAGAGTAGTGTGGAGTGTCAGCCAGTACAACACCCAGGAGCTACCCAGGTGGCACATGGCCGAATGAGCCTTTTGGTAGTGTCTGGGGTTGGTTCGTTGTCTTGTTTTGCAATAGTGTCATGTGAGCACTTGTGAGGACTTTGGGCCACGACAGACCACCTTAGATCCTTTGTCGTGTGACTGTTCAGAGCTTGCGAAGTCCATATTTATAATTTGCATTGCCTATCAAGTGTTTGTTGAAAGGGTTGCTTGTGGATCCCGAGTTAAACACTTTCTCTAACCTGTCCATTTGTAGGTCTTTAAGGGACCTTAATAGGTTTCAAGGAGGTTGACTCTCAGCGGACGGACGCGCAGGGGTGCCGCACGACTTAGCTAAAACCAACTAAGTCTGTGACAAATATAGAGGAATGGCCAACCCTTCGTGCGAGAGGTACCACGAGGACAAGTGAGCTGGGAAGAACGTATGACGCATAAAGGTTGGGATGGTTGAGTTCAAGCTACGACTCGACGTTGGAAACCAAACTTGATGGTGCTCAAAGCAATTGGGGCACTTGGCAAAGGATAAGATCATACAAGGTGGGATAGGTTGCTCAGCGACTGAAAGAGTTGTGCGAAGCTCATAGAGGTGAGGGGAATTGCTAACTCGAAGAATTCAGTACTCATGCAAGGGTTGTCTGGGATGGTGTGCTTTCCGTGGCCATCCTAAGGCGATCGAAACTCGACGCAATGGAACATTGAAACTTTCTCTTCGGTATGGGAAGGATACGCCCATAGGAGGCTAAAGTGTGTAGCGTGTTCAATATGTTGCTAGGCCTCGAGGGGCGCTAGGGGCTATATTGGCGAAGAGTCGCAATTTAGCAAGTGCGTTTGCGGGGATGGAACAATGCATAGTTTGTTCAGCAAGGCAGAGTAGTCTAAAGGGATGGTGGTCTTTGAAACTTCCAACAGGAAGGATGCGAAGAGAAATTACTCCAACGAGATAGATATCCAGGAGAGATAAGTCCATCTTCTCCAGAGGGAGAATCATATGCAACGAACCACACATGTTGAGGAAGGGTATTTCAAGACAACAATTCCACAAAGCTCAATGGATTGAGT